GTTTGACTAAAATATTGTTAAGCTCAAGCTTGAATTCAATTTGAACTCTTTTCCTGGTTTGAGCTCGGATCAATTAAATATTTGATGGACTCAAGCTCATCTTGAAAACTCAAAAATGAATATATTTTTGTGTTGTATTTTATAAATATATATATATGACATATTTTTATAATACATAGTATATTCTTATGTTATGTATGGAATATAAAAATATATTTTTATAATGTATATTATAAATTATATTTTTTTATTTTATAAAATATATTAATCGAGCCAAGCTCGTGAGTTTTCAAATTGAACTTTTTGTTGGCCAAATTCAAATGCGAATAACTTCAAACTTACCTTGAGATTCAAATTCAATTCAAACTTGAATAGAATTGAACTCAAACTTGAATTATTCGGTTAAAACTCGGTTCAATTGCAGCCCTAATTTACACTTCTTATTGTGCATGGACATGTTGCATTGTAATTCAGAACCTCATAGCCTTTCAAAAAAAATCAGAAATTCATATAACAATGCAAAATGGACCAACTATTATGGTTCCAAGAAAACAGGGGAGAGACGATAACTGTACTTAACCTAATGTTTCACTTGAAATTTCTTGTCATTGAGTTAAGATTTATTTTTTATTTTTATTTTTTTTTTTTTTTGAATTATCAAAAAACTTTAGCTATTAGGGGCCAACAGCCTATGTTGTGGAGAGAATTTCTAGGAATGCCACTTACCTGAGAATGAGTGAATTAATAATTATATATTAATTTATTTTTACTAAAAACCAAAGAATGGGCATGAATGGATGAACTGCCCAGAACGTGCCCAGCCCAGAAACTGTCTCAACAGCCTATGCTGTTGGGCCTCAACAGCCAAAGTTAACCCCTCTAATCCAGTATGAAGTTAGGAAACCTGTATTATTTGTTGTTAGTATGCTTAATCAGTGGAACATATTGGTAAATAATTTTGAGAATTTAATACAGAATGCAAAAACAGCTCCTACAACAATAAGTCAAAAGTATGCTTAAGCCAGATGGGTTTCTTATTAACCAAGCCACAGACTTGACTTTACATCCACTGTCACTAATTCACATGGCCATAACATTGCAAACTCATGTCATCACTTAAGGCTCAGTTTGGAAGGAGCACAAATATAAATATGTAGAGTACAAAATCTTGTATTTTATATTATTTTATATGTATTTGTATTTGTACTCTTTCCAAACTGAGCCTAAAGATTGAACCAAGTTTACCCACGTGATAAGTAAAAAATAATTATCATTTTACACTAATATTATAAAATGTTGACAATTTTTAATCTACCAAAAATTCGTATGGTTTAATGTACTTATCCAATTATCCAAATATATAAACTTTCGCATAATTATCTAAACGTTTATATGTGATAATTAATCCAGTTGGGGATTTGAGATTATAATACCATATTAAGCAAAAAAAAATGAAAAAAAAAATAGAAAAATAAAGAAAGAAAAAATAATATCATTAAATTTAGCACATTTTTTAGGATGGTTTATGTTCATTTCTCTAGGAGTTCTCTTCTACGCAACAGGCTCAAGTTGCTTTGTTGGGGGTGCAGCTCTGGCCTTTTCCCTTCCTGAGCTTAAACCTATTGTACTGGTTACTTGTGCAATGGAATGAAGATTAATGTAGATGGTGTAAGCAGGGGAAATCCGGGCATTAGTGGGAATGGTGTATCATCAGAAACTGCCACAACAATGTTAAATTTGCTTTTGCTCGGAAGTATGGGTTTCTATTAATATTGTCTAGGATCGATCTCCTAAAGTACCGTTGGAGATATTCCTAAAGTCTCCAACGGTACTTTAGGAATATCTCCCTTACATATATGTTAAATGTATTGGTAGATAGTTTCATTATGCAACTAAATTCCCATGCTTTCAGAGTGTATGTAGGGGCGTTCTTTTTTTGGATTTTGAGAGGGGAAAGTTGGTCAATGTGATTTATGTGAGGATTAAGGAAAGTATTTTCCTAGGTATAACTTACGTATCTCCAGGGTAAATAATTTTTCCACCTGGCGGGGGGGGGAATCACTAACACTTGAATGGGACAAAAATGCCCCCTTTTAATAATGAATTTTTATGGCTAAAATGGTTATTGTCTTATTTACCTGGGAAATAAAAGAAAATGAATAAATACACTTACTCAAATAAGTCTTTCCTGGAAAACACTTACCTGTGTAAATAACTTATTGAAAAGCGAATGGGGCCATAGAATTTTTACTTAGAATAAATCCATTGAGATTTGGGATGCAAAGTTATTCTTGATGGAATATCTTATGCTAAATCCATAGGACATTATAATGTTGTGGTTTGTTCGGACCCATGATTCATTATTTTAGGTGCCTTTTGGCTCCTTTTTTTTTTCTTTTTTGACCAAAGGTATCTTCTGGCTCCTTGGTGCATATGGTATTGGATTGAAGACATAAGGAGACAACTTGTGGATTTGATTTGTCGATTTGTGCATAACTATAGGGAAAGCAACCAGGTAGCTGACTCCCTGACTAACTTGGTATSTGATAGTAATATGGGCTTGTTGTTTTGAAATCGGCTTCAGTGTTCATAAGACCGTGCTCACATCATTCGTACAGTACCTTCAACCTTGCATTGGGAATATTTCCCCATAAAAAAAAGCATACAAGTATGGAGATATTCCCAATGCATGACTGTAAAAGACTTCAAACGGTGTTAGYACGGTCTTGTGAGCACCGAAGCCGATACCTGTTGTTTCACTTTAGAATGGAGCTGCCGGCACATATTCTGGTATTCAACTTCCATATCTTAGACATAATGATTTCCTTTCTGTTCTTTTTCAGGCTCTTCAATGTTTTATGATGTATGCTTATTGATCTGTTGAGCCACTTGTATTGCTTTTCTAGAGGAATAAGGTTTCCATGTCCCCTATCTGTTTTTTTTWTATATTTAATAAAATTTTGCAATGGCTGCCCCTTSGCAATAAAATAAGCCTTAGATCTTATCTTAATAATATGTTTGTACTTGTATATATGAGTTTTCCTAGCATATCCACACATCTACTATATTCACATCATCAGATGTTTTCTAAACTTACCCCATTATATTTGCCCATCTCCCATAAACATAACCCCCAACCCTGGTGGGAGTGGGGTAAACCCAAGTCTCTGCTCCAACAAGGCAGCCACCATCTTTTAATACTTTTTACGATATTGATACTTTATTACAATATGAATTTATCTTGCATAGGGATCTACTGCTCACAAGGCTGTGTATAACAGGCTACGTAACCAATCACAAATAAACACGGCAGCCTGGGACCCAGACAGAACACTGGAGTATTCACTCATTATTGAATATGTAGCTCATTATACACAACTGTACAAGAAGCAGATTTCCAGACCTGTTAAACTTGTGAGAGAGTTCTTTTTTCGAACTTTGAGCGGGGGGAAAGTTGGCCAATGGGATTTTGGCTCCATTGACCAAGAACCCATCTAGGGGAAAAATTTATGTGGAGACTAGGAAAAAATTATTTTCCTGGGGTAAGTGATACCCATCTAGGGGAAAAGTTGCCAACACTTGAATGGAACAAAAATACCCCTTTTGATAATGGAATTTTTATGGAAAAATGGTCATTCATTTCTTTACATGAGAAATAAAAGAACATGGGTAAATGCACTTACCCAGACAAGTGTTTCCCAGGAAAAACTTATCCTGATAACTGCATTTACCTGGATAAATAATTTACCGAAAAGCAAATGGGGCTTAAAAAGAAACAACTCTCCTTTTCATTTATGCAGGAAACAAAAAAAAAAAGGTAGCACGTGTTCATCTAATATATTTAAGCTAATTCTTACATTTCTACCGTTTCCTCTTCACAAGCAACCAAAGCTCAAACCATTTCCACTCTCAACTCGCAGGTGGGGAACCTGACAACCTTGCTCAAACAACCCTGTGGAGCACTTTTATTCGTTTCTAAATTCGGGTCATTTTGAATATATATATATATATATATGGAAGCCATTTCTTTATCCAATTGAGAGTTACAGATAACTTCTCATTCAAGCAGACATCCATGCAATAAAAATTGAATTAAAATTTTTACCATTAAAATGAATCAGCCATGGTTAGTTGAAACTAAAAGCTCGTGCAACAAACAGCTTCAATTTCCAACCGAACTCTTGTTATTTTTTTAGTAGATTGGAAGTAGTTTCTAACCAAACGCTTTGTATTCAGACATCCACCTCTCATAGTAGCCAATTGCCTGAATCGTAAATGGGTAGATTCTACGGCTCGCCAAGGGATTTCAACACAAGCTACATGGATACCAACCTTTGAGAAAGTAGTATAATTGGTTATCACGATTAGATAGGAGGCATGGATTGGAAGAAGTTTTCTTTCATTTTTTGACTCAGCATCTGATGTGAGTCCAACGTTCATTATCATACAAACTGCGTAGGAACAAAGGTGGACAGTACTGCAAATATAAATTCATCAAACAGGTTGAAATGGTTTATCAAGGTAGCTATCCTGAACTGTTTAGCAATTTCACCAAGTCTGGGACTTGAGAGTTTACATCCTGTAATTCCCTTTAATATGGGTAAGGACTCTTGGAACTACGTTTCCCCCCAGATTAACGAGTTTTGACACTTGCACCACTGATGGGTAACACAAAAGAGGCAAAACTATGGCTCAGAATTCATTGAACAGAAGTAAGGGGTCACTATGGGCAGATATAACCGCAGGATCAGTCTCGGTGCCCTGTCTCCCTGCAACAGGCTGCAGTTTCAATTTTCAAACAAGACATTCTGGGTCACATACAAGTTAAGCCAGTTAACCCAGATCAACCCACCAGGGAGAGGTGGGAATTTAGTAGAGCTTTCCCAGCGGCCTCTTGTGGTGTCTGACTCCACTTACAGGGTATAGGACTAGATTGCATTCCTAATTTATAATTGAAGTTCTGTCCTGTAATGGTCCAAGTTATTAGACCCTCGTGCTCGTGTACAATCTGCATGCATTAAACCTGAACAACAAACAGGTTCTATGCAATTCATTAAGACCGGAAAAATAACAATCCGCTGTTACAGTTCTATACATTGTTTATAACGTCAAAGTGGACATGGTGACGTGCACACAAGGGAGGCAGACGAAATTTGAAGAAATCATGTTCAATGCAATCTAGAGATTGGTTTGGGAGCTTAACACTTGAGGCTGATTGAGACCAGAACCAAACCGCAATAAAGCATCCTTATCACATGATTCTCCTCACCCTTTTTTGTCCGAACTCAATAGCTCTAAGCATAGTTCTTCAAGTGAATAAGCGCATCCATGAACAATCTTTTTCATTTCAAGGCAATGCTGCACAGTATTGAAACAATCACAGGGAAAATACCGATTTAGTCTACAAGTAATCGTGAAAACAATTCCTTGAGGGTTAGTAGGTGACGATAGACTTAAAATTACCAGAACTAGTGGCAACTCTCACGGTTGATCTTCATCCGACCTGGACCGTGTGAACCGCCTACGCCTCCTTGGTACTGGAGATACATCCTCACCCATGTCACTTGCCAGGTTCCAGTCATCATCTTGCAGACCCAGCAGATTCTCACCCCACAAATTACGACGACTAGGGAATGCTATGGATGAACGACGATGCCTTGTCAAAGCCCTTGAGAGGCCTCTTGACTCTGATGCAATCATCTGTAAGAGAAAAAGTCTAGCCCACCATATACCACTTCCTCCACCTGAGCTGCTTTCCCTGTCAAATGAGAATCCATCTCCATTCTCTATGACATAGTCTCCAACTACAACAGCACCTGGTATGGCTGAACGGATAGCACTGACAATATCACCATATTCCCTTTGGTGCTCAAGGTGACGCCAAGCACGTTGCCTTGATGGGTCAACATCAGCAGGTCTTGTGGTAGGGTGTACCCGCCTAGCATGCCTTCGAAGCTCCCTGTAGCTACCAACAAATGAGCATGCCTCTCGTGAGCAAATTCTTCGTTTCAGGTCAAGATACTCCCTGGCCTCCTTCACAATCTTCCAGCCTGTTACAGTCCCTCGACATAGGGGGCATTTCAAGTTCAAGTTAGGGGTAGATATATTCTCTGCACCTAACTCTTCGAAACCAATCCTTCTCCTGAATGCCTCAGGGTCACTTGTTTCAACAATGTTGCCGCCTTGTGTTTCTGAATGCCTATCCAGTTCTTCGTTGACATTTTCTTCTAGTGCATCCAATAACCCAGCTGAGCTTCCATTGTTGTTTTCATCTAAACTGAAGCCTTCATGAGCATTTTCCTGGTCATTCTCCATTCTCAGATCCCCTAAGTAAAGTTCCGATGTATGAACATGCAAAGGCCTCTGGTTGGATCTTAAATTATCTGGGTTCTCAGATAAGGAAGATCTGGGATGTGAAGGGCTGTTCCTAGGTTCGACTCTTAGTTTTTTAAAACGATCTAGGCAATTTGAGTGCCTGTAACTTGTGTCACAGATGTAACACCTGCAGCCCTTGTCATGTGAGCTGCAGAGAAGGAGAACAGCATTATGTGGATGGTCCATGCAGATTGGGCACGAAGCCTCATCCCATTCCTTGTGCAAAGCATGGATATCTGTTCCAGTAGATGTGCTCCCTCTCATATCTGTCATCTTGGGTGCACTGTATTAAGTTATTTGAAACATTAAACTTATCAGAATGCACACTGTTTCTTTTGAAACCAAGAACAAAATGACCAGAGATGGAATGACTATGGAATGCACCTTTTAGAGCAAAACAGGAAAGTTGTATTATATCATTTAACTTGCATTCTCAAATCTCAACAAGCAAACAGGGTCATCAAACAGCTCACTAGAGTTAACAAAGTGAAAACATAGAAGAACTCCTAGTCAGCTGCCTTAGGCATCATTGATAACATTCAAAATTTCTAACTATAGTTGGGTGAGACCTATGGGAAAAAGAAATGTGGACAATCATATGAAACGTCTTTGTCCTTGTTGATGTGGTATGTGAGAAGTCTGAGAGTCTGAGACATTTGGAGAAGTACAACTTCAGGATTAAAACAGTAGCCCATTAGGAATTTAATCAAAGTGTTAATGTTCTCTAATTCTATATATTGACAATAGGGCATGGACATCAAAGAAAAGATCATAGAGCTATTTGATCCATATTACAGTCTAAAATAATTGACATCCTGGTTAAAATGTAGTTATCACCTCATCAGCACCATCATTAGCCAAACCCTGTTCAAATAACATGCACCATTGCCACAACCTGGTTCAATCCACAGCCTTAAGGATCAGGTCATGACCAAGGAAGTACACTGCCAACATCACTATTTCTGATGTGATATATTCTAATGATGTTTGAACATCAACAGCTAAAAGTGTTGAAGGACATATAGACGGAAGACAGCTGGGAACAAATACTGATCCAGATAAGCCATTCTAAAGTGTGTTTCATTCACTATGAAGATCAAAATTACCCAGTTAGGAAATCCTCCATTCTCCAATTGTGAAACATCCTCTATTGACCAAGATAATGATGGCTACAAAGGCAATAAATCCTGAGACATCAGGAAATTTAGATGCAAAGGCACTGAAAATATCAACCACTATCTCAAATATGGCTCAAGGTCAGTCAATATAAACTCCAGCAGAAGTCCCAAACCTTATCAAGGATATCTGGATAAAAATTCTCCAGGACTTCTTATTCACTTCCCACCAGTGTTTTAAGACTCAAACCGGAAAGTCTTCTGGGTCATGAGTCAAATGGTTTGACCATACGTCACAAAAAAGCATAAAATAAACTTTTTAAATTTAAAACATAAATGTTAATGGCGGCTAGATGGTTAAGGAATTGCTTTTTAACATAAATGGTTCAAGTCTCATTACTTGTTTTTATAAAAAAATATATAATATTTAATCAATATATATTAAATACACATAAATAATCACAAAATGAATGATGGTTTGATGATTTGATGTCAACACATGCAATTATGATATCTCAGGTTCAATTCTTTCTATTTGCATTTTAAAATATATGTGCATTTAGTGACACAAACATGTCATTGAAACCAATTGGATCGTTGAAACCCAGCCTGTTTACAACAGTTCCACTGGGTTTTGACCAGTTTTTCCGATTTTTCAAAAAAATGAAAACCTGGGGTTTAAAGAACCAGATTCCCTTCCAGTTCCCGGATTGAACAGTCCACTATCCAGTCCAGTCTGGATCTTTAAACATTGCTTTCCACTGCTTATCAGGAATTCAAGTACCCTACATGAAAACTCTAGCTGATAGTTTTTAGGAAGTGCAATATAAAGATGTAAGACAGCAAATGCAAACTCCAATGCCTATTCAGTCCCCAAAATTAGACTTGGTGACGTGAACAAGCTACACCATCCAAAAACATTGTTGCCGACTACCACACATTGATACACCAAGACAGTTATACTCGAGGGTGGAGGGGTAACCTAACCACTTATTGTTTTCTTTTTAATTATGCACATGGATCCTGTTTATGTGGGGTCAGCTACATGAATCCTGTTTATCCATTTTGTTCTGTTTGATGCGACATGCACTGTATTTTTTTTTTTTTTTGATAATTACACATCCATTGTTAAATTATTGGTGCTTAAATCATTTGTTACTACTCTGATCCATGTACATTTTTGTCTAACCCTATCCTTTCTAGCCCCTTCAACTTGCAACAGTTAACTTCTTATGGGTACTATTGAAGGTCTTCTATGCATGTGACTCATCTTAGTCTACTTTATCTCATTTAATTACCTATTTGAACTACTCATAGGTTCCCTTGAATGACTTCATTTCTGACTTCATCCTTTTTAGTTTTCCCATTCATCCATCCCAGCATATGCATTTCTACCACACTCATTTTTTGGACATGTTTCTAACTGCCCAACATTCCGTCCCATATAGCATAGCTGACCTTACAACTGTTTTATAGAATTTTCCTTCTAATCTACTAAGTGGTATTTGCCTATCACACAAGGTTCCGGATGCACTCCATTTTAACCATCTTGCCACAATTCTATGGGTGACATCCTCCTCAATCTCTCTCTTGTTATGAATTATGGATTCATACCATGATTTGCACCTCTTTTTTCTTTCCCTTTTTTTTCATGGGGCATAACAGGGGTAGTCCATCCCTCATCCCCTTAACCCCCCCAACCCTGGTGGTACCAGGATTTGATCCCAAGTCTCTGCTACAATGAGTCAAAGATCCTACCAACTTCTACTATTAGTATTATTAAAGTTACATATCTTATATTCTGTTTTAGATCTACTTATTTTAAAACCTCTTGTTTCGGTATTTGTCCATAAACTTAATTATGCATTTAATCCTTCATTAATTTCATCAATTGAGACAATGCCATCAGTAAACACATGCACCATGGGACCTCCTCCAAAATACATCTAGTCAATTCATCTATGATCAGTAAAAATAAATAAGGGCCAAGTGCTGAACTTTGATGAAGACCCATTGTAGCTGTAAAATCCGATGCCTCTCCAATAGGTGTTCTAACAAAGGTTGGTGCACCCTCATAATATCCTTAATTAAATCTATATATCTATTTGGAACCCTTTTCTTTTCCTAGACCCACCATATTACCTCTCTAGGGGCTCCATCATATGCTTTTTCTAGATCAATAAACACCATATGAAAAACTCTCCTGTTCTCTCTAAACATTTCTATCAATCATCTCAAAAGAAAGATAGTTCCCATGGTTGATATCTTTGGCATAAATCCATATTGGTTATTTGATATACTTGTTTCATGTCACAACCTTCGCTCAACCATTCTCTCTCAAAGTTTCCTAGTTTGAGTATGAGCTTAATCCCCTAATAGCTATTACAACCTTTTATATTGCCTTTGTTCTTAAATATAAGCACAAAATTGTCCTTTCTCCATTCATCCGACATCTTTCTTTCATTATCTTATTAAATAGCTTAATTAATGCTATTGGGCCCTAATGCCTTTCCCTTCTTCATTTTATTTAGTGCCTCTTTCGCTTCAATAGTTCTAATCTTATGAAGGTACATGTCATTTTCAACACTATTAATATCACTAATCTTTCATCTATTAGTGCCTTCTACGTGCTGTTCATTTAATAATTTTTCAAAACAGCTTTTCTACCCATCCTTGATTTCCTAAGCTTTTACCAAGATTCTTTCACCTTCCTCTTTGATGCACCTAACATAGTTTAAATCTCTACTTTTCCTTTCTCTCAACTTTGCTAGTTTATAAATTCCTTTTTCTCCCTCTTTAGTGCCTAGGAGCTAATTAGAAATAAATGATTACTTATCATTAAATACTCCAAACAGTAAGACATCCATTTTCAATTAAGAGAGCCAAAAAATTAGCTCATGGCAAAGCTTTTTTTTTTTGAAAAGGATAAGGTATGATTTATTAAAGAAAAAAATAAGGTATACAAGGAGTATATGTTGGAGTTCCTATAACTCCTCCAAAAAATAGGAGAGAGCCCACCCCACACACAGGCTACCATCTCCCAATGAACAAAAAGAGACCAATATGCCAAAACAACTTAAATAACTTAAACAAGACTTAAAAAGACCTGGCCTGTGACCCAAACACCAGATGGCTAGAACATGCTAGTCAGGCAAGGGGAGAGAGACAAAAGAGACCATCTATCTACCCCTCCCTCTTCTTGGGCCTTCTGTTGGGAGGCTTTCTTACACTCACATCATAGAAAAACTCAAGAAGCTTTGATTTCTGACACCCTAGGAGATAGTTCAAACTGCTATGGACCAATCCAAACTGCTACTCTCGAATTCCGGCTCTTCTTCAGAAATTGAACTACCACCCAAGTCTTCTAAAACAATAGATACCCCTTCAAGCTCTTTATTTTTGAACCACTCTTTGACCTACTCTTCTTGGTCAATACCAAAGGTCACCCCTAGAAGGTTCCCAAAATTCAATGCCTTCTCTAAGCGACTACTAAAACCTTCACTAACTCTTGACCTACAAGCTCTTTATTTTTGCTCGCCTTATGGGTGTTTCCTCATCCACACAAAGAGGAACACAGCCTTCTTTAAAGGTCCGCAAAGGAGGGCTAGTGGACTCGGGACCCAAAACTGCACTTGATATAGCAAGGGGCTTCGACACGAGGTTAGGCCCAAGAATGGGCTTAAACCGCTACCAAATGGTTCCCAACGAAAGCAATGGCTGAGAAACCCAACAAAAGGTGTCCAATGAAGGTGCAAACCTTGGGCTGGCATCCAAACACTAGGCCTCCAAAGATGAGCATCAGGATGAGGGAGAAGATTCTGATGGGCCTGTCAGTGCCAAAAGTTTGGGCAGACACGAAGCCAACAGGTTAGTCCTCCATACAACCCTAACTAGAATTCCAACCCAAAAAACTCATGCGTCGATTCAAAATTCAAATCGCCGACACAAGTACTTGCTTTCTAAGGAGGAACCGATGACTGCTTCCATGGAACGATCTGGGAGTTCGTCGCAATAGATCGCTCTGGTCACCCAACGGGAGGTGGGATGATCCCTTCCCCATCCAAGTGAGAACACTTTGACAAATTCCAGCCACAACGCCTCCTACGTCGTTTCCACAGTGATGCTTGGAGCCATTGTTACCTGTAGGTTGTGTTTCATATCTGTACAA